CTACAGGAGCAACAGCTTTGGCAAAGGCTCTAGAATCAAATTCCTCTTTGACTTCTTTGGATCTTCAATGGAATCAAATTAGAGATACAGGAGCAACAGCTTTGGCAAAGGCTCTAGAATCAAATTCCTCTTTGACTTCTTTGAATCTCCAGCATAATCAAATTGGAGATACAGGAGCAACAGCTTTGGCAAAGGCTTTAGAATCAAATTTCTCTTTGACTTCTTTGGATATTCAGTGGAATCAAATTGGAGATACAGGAGCAACAGCTTTGGCAAAGGCTCTAGGATCAAATTCCTCTTTGACTTCTTTAAATCTTCAGCAGAATCAAATTGGAGATACAGGAGCAACAGCTTTGGCAAAGGCTCTAGAATCAAATTCCTCTTTGACTTTTTTGAATCTTCAGCAGAATCAAATTGGAGATCAGGAGCAACAGTTTTGGCAAAGGCTCTAGAATCAAATTCCTCTTTGGAATCAAATTGGAGATACAGGAGCAACAACTTTGGCAAAAGCTCTAGCTAGTTTATATTAGTAGCAAATTTGTTTGTATTGCAACAATTTATGATAATCGCGGACATATTAGTAACAGTGGACATGTCAGCACGTATACGTTTCTAATAATAGATTATTAGTAATTGCGAAAGATATAAAGCAGCGTAGATTTCAGCTAGTTTCGGTGTGTCAAAGTATTCTGATCTTTTCTATTCCATTATTTCATATAATATTATTGTTAATTAATAAATGAGCACTATTACTCTGAAAATATACGTTTGATATCTTATTCCCTGAACTATTCGATATAACCGTTGAACCACTAATCCCTATATCGGAAAAGTAATCGCTTCTTGTCCCCCGATTACAAATACGATAATTAACTGTTTTCTATTACTATCCCAACCTGTGGATTACCGAGTAGAGAACAGAGGCACACTCGAGGACGAATTAATTATCGAGGATTAGTGTCTACGCATTGACACACTGAAGTCGTGAGTAGTAAAAGCCTGGTTAGGTCACTAACTGTCATTTCTTGTAACTAAGTGTCACAGCTCCGATTGAACTTTTAGCTAAATCTCGACGATCGATTGTTCTCCCGCGGTTGTTGAATCGACATATTACTCAAATTAAATACTTCTTATGGAACCTGATACCGCAATAGTAAACACTGATACAGAGGATGTTAGTATAGATAATAAATCGTTACTGATTAATAATATTGGTAATGTCATATCAGAACAGTAGTTTTGGGGATAAAAAGATGTCCCACGACAAAGCTGTCAACTTTAATATCAACTAAATAGTGTAAATGTGTGATTGGTGAGCTTGCATGCTTATGCTTACTTTCTCTTTACAGATTCAAGTCTAACCTCGTTTTATGGTAACGTCGTCTTCTTTCTTGCCTACAAGACTATATAATAATTCTATTTCTTGTGCATAAACATCATCAGGACCAGACCCTACTGGTGTTTCTAGAACCAAAGGAATGTTGTCTAAACGATGATCGTTCATGATCAGTCGAAACGCTTCGAGGCCAATATGACCTTTCCCTATGTTAGCATGGCGATCACGATTGGATCCTAATTCAGTTAGCGAGTCGTTTAAATGCATTCCACGAAGATATTTAGGATTGACATGCTTGAAGAGCTCGGTCATTGTCTTCTCGTAAGCAGACTTTGTGCGTAAATCATATCCCTGTATCAAAATCAATTAGTTAAGGAAAATAGAGTTGGACAATAATCTTTAACCAAAAATTCTTGACTCCCTACCGCAGCAAATGTATGACAAGTGTCGATGCACACACCCACACGATTCTTATCTAACCTCAGAAAAGTAAAGAGTTATTGAAATGCGAATAACAAAAAGAATGATTGACCGATAAGGCCGTTCGAGCATACCGATAACCTTAGCTATAATCGCACCGAGTTCCTCAAACTTTGATCCGACAATATTTCCAGAGCCAGCCTAATGAAAGGTCAACAAATAGTTATTAATTAGCAAACTGACAATGATAATAACATGTAATATCTCTACTTGCCATATTCTCAAGAACGCAAACAACGGTGGATGTCTCCCCATGAACTCTATTGATACAATCAGCGATATGCCCTATCGATTGCTCGGTAGTACATTTACCTACTGTCGAGCCAGGACTAGACAGAAAAGATTATTTGATGAATTCATCGAGGAGGTTGGTTACAAGCGAGAGTTATTGTTCGTGACTTACTGGAAATTGTAGAGCAGAAGGCCTAAATCCTCGCATCTCTTTATGTCATCAAGAAATGACTTGTAGCTTTTCTCTCGTTTTTGTGCATCAGGATTAGCAAGATTGATTAAATAACTACCATGTGGAAGTATACAGTGGGCGGGATAGTTATGTTCTTTACAAGCCGATTGAAAAGAAGCGATCTGATCGGCTGTCATAGGCGCACTATCCCATTTTCGTTGATTTTTGAGAAATATAGCAAAAGCATTTGCGCTGTTCGTATAGAAATTTATAACTAAAAAACGTTGTAGTTTATGCCAGCGTCGAATACTTAATTACGCGTTATAAAGGTCAAGAAGAAACAAATTTCTTACGAACCCTATCTGTAGACCATTGTTAACAGCGTTATGTACACCTCCAGAGATACTAACATGAGCCCCGAGAAGTTTTGTTACATTTGTGAGCCGCGTGGCAAAGGTAGCGGTCATTTCAGTGACTTTTTCGGTCTTTGTTCTTTTAACCTTTTTCTTTGGCGACTTTGCTACCTGAGTATCGACTACCACAGTTTTGTTTTTGATTCGTGCCTTTGTTTTGGCGTCTAAGTTGCTCACTTGAATTTTTTGCTTTCCTTTTTTCTTTTTCCTTGTCGACTTTGTTACCCGAGTATCGATTTCGTCTTGGGTTTCTGCCTTTATCTTGGCGTCTACTTCGTTCGCACGCTCTCTCTTACGCTTCTTTTTGGGGATAATCTCCAGTTCCTGTGCGCTAACTGTTGTCTCAGTTAGCTCAGATACAGCAGACAACCTTGCGAGGCTTCGGGTATTAGACATTCAGTATCTTTAAGCCTTGGTAAAGAAAATGATTTGATCGCCAACAAAAATGTTGATGCGTTTTTACACACGACAGAAATCGTGTAACCAGCAGTACGTGACAGTATAATTATAAACAAACACTACATTGTTTACAACTTACAAAGTAATACTTACTAAAAAGCTAGTGTTTACATCAAGACACGTTCAAAGTGCCTTTTTTTTGTAACACGTGTATGCAAGAATAACATTTATTTATTTATTATTATCAATAAACGACAACGTTGAACTCAAAGAGTGTTGTAAGCTTTGCCTTAGACTAAGTGGAAGTCAATCGCATCTGAAGATTGTGACAAGCATGTCATCGCTGTTATGAACAGTTAAGCTGACGCCATTGAAGGCTTTGCATCTTGGGTCATCCTTCACACTTTCTAAATTCTTTTGACAGCTTATACGCGGTCATAAAAGTAATAAACACATTTCACCGTCCAGAACCATTCAGGAAGCCTAATCGCTTTCCTCACCTACGTCTATTGCAAGGAATGCTCACACCTCCAAAAGCAACTTGTTTCTGTTTCGGTTGGAATACTAGCGATAGACCGGTACCAAGTGTTATATTGTTTAACGTGGTAACCTCGAGGAAGGAAAAAAAACTTTGTTCGGACAAAAGCTCAAGTTTGCCAAAAATATATTCTAGGACAATCACCTGACTTCCGTCCCCATTATTAAGTTCCTCATCGTAATGACCTATAAATGGTGCTAGTGTCAGCATGAGATGCAAGTCTGGCGAATAGGAGATAAAAATAGTGATCACAAACTTCGGAAAATATTAAAAATGATAAAAAATGTAACGAAAAAGATTGTTTGAATTGACGAGCGATTGACCGGTTATATCGACAGACAGACCAATGAATAACAACCATAAATTTACTTCTGAAAACATGCAAGCTTCCTGCAACACATATCTAATCTACTCTATTTAAAGCTTATTGTGGGTTATTTACTGTTCTTTATCAGTTATCGCGCGTCATTGTTCCGCGGTTTTATGTGTGATCGATAGGCAGATGTATCACCTCTTGCACTCTGTATCAGAAGTAAGATGCAAACTATCTTGTATTGGTTTCTGACAATAAAAATTCCTATTGCGCCCAGGAAATACAATGAAATTATAATTAGTACGGCCTTTTTAAGCGAAAGTTAGCTTGTACTCTATATTCTTGGATCAATATTCATAGTATTCGTATTAGTAATAAAAGATCATGTCTATAACTTTTACTATATTAATAATATTGTATTACAATAAATAATTCGACGTCGAAAACAATTCATTTTTAAAGAAGCTTTCTTCGTGTAAGGTGCGTTTTGTAACAGCTTTTGTCCAATTACGATTACATTTCATATAATGATTGCACAACATCACTCTATATAAAGTGACCTTTGAATATTATTAGACAAGTAATTTATAAAATGCTCGTGTCCAGACCATAACATAAGTGAAACCAACTCAGTTACGAGCTAATGGATAGACTCGCTCTGCAGTATAGCGAATAATATCATTCACCTAGCATTAACTTTATAATATTTTCTATCATTCGACATATTTTCTTTATCGCTCTCCCATATATTTATTTCATGTCTTCCCAATAATGCTATGAAATGTCAAAGAGATAATCCTACTTCCATTCATCAATCGAAGGCTTAAACATATACGATTAACTTAATCGTACATTTTGACGGGCGCTTTGTATTTTGCTTTTGCTTAAGACCATTGAGATGAACGAATGAAATTAATTTCAAGGTTGGATTTTATTAAAAGTATTTTAACAAAAATGTTATTTTTTATGATATCAAATTCAACAGACAACTTTCGAAACCTGTTTGTAGAACGATTCTTTTATACAATTTAGTATGGAACGTCAAGGGTTTAGATTCATTATTTGTACTACTCTATCTCAGCTTTTCCGATGATATGTATCTTATTATTATTGCATGGTTGAAAACAAAATTGGCAGAGTAACTCGATAACAGATTATTTCTATAGGTCCGAAATATTGAGCAGCTGGGACTAAAATCAGTTATACTGCATCTTAGAACGATGATCTTCCAGTGTGTGTGCCTTCTCTTCCATAAACTTTGGGTTTTCTGCTTCGTAGAGGTTCTTCTGAAATTCAAAGCATTCCCGGCAATTTGTAAACTGCTCTTAAGATCGCGAATATTTCTTGGGTGACACGAGTTTAAATTATACAGTAATAAGTAAATTGGTTATCAGGCGTAAATCCTTCTCTTGAATCAAGCGTGCATAATAGTTTATTCTTTAATAGCATATTATTGAGGCAAATCCTGTTTTTCCCAAACTCACGCTTATCATTCATGATCCTTTTTAGAAATTAGTATTAGCCAAGTCCCGTGCGAAAAACGTAAAATATACCCCTAAATGTTTTCATCGATTTAAACTACTTCTTTCTTTATTGTTTGTTTGATTTATTTATGACCAATGAATGTCGCCATTTTGAACTATTCTTGGCATAATACAAAGTTTCGCAATCCATTGGTTTATCTATTTAGTACTTAAACGAGAAATGATGTTGAATAGTGATCGACAGCTCGCATATCGATAATTACCCCTCAAAGATGATCGGAAGATTCATTGTGTAACCCGCCAATCAGTAGAAAATTGCCGAACCGTTTTGATCTAATCTTTAAGATGTAACGGACATCAAAAATTGATATATTTTGTTATCAATCTTTAATTCGAGATCAAGTGGTCGCCACATAGTTATAAATAATACAAATACAAATGTCTACCCCCCACCCGGTCTGGCAGATATCTCATCATCACGAAAGTTGTCGCTAATATCGAGATTAGAAAAATAACAAAATAATGTTATCATCACACATATCCGCACGAGCTATCGGATCTTCGATACGATATAACACTAGTCGATACATTGGCACGCTTGGGGCTCTACCCGCTATAAGAAAGCGTTGGAAATTTACAAGTACCCAAAAGCAGCAACAACAGCAATCGTCACGAGCATATTCGCGAAACTCACCAAAGAATGAGCAAGTAAGGGCCTGTTAATTACCGCATGCAATTGTTCATATTTGGTTATTTTAATACAATAAGCCACATGCGATCGCTTGTATTGTACAGAAAACACTCTTAAAACTTCTCGAAAACATCGGTTCTCGCAGAGAAGTCGAACAATATCTACGCATATTTTCAGAAGTCGACCAGCAAAGATTTGCAGTAATCAAAGTCGGTGGTGGTGTGCTCGAAAACGAATTGAACGATTTAGTAGATTCTCTTACTTTTCTCTATAGAGTAGGTCTATACCCAATTGTAGTGCATGGTGCTGGTCCACAGCTGAACAAAAAATTTAAAGAAGCAGGTATACCACCTGGCTATTCTGTCGATGGCGTCAGAGTGACCTCCGCAGACATGCTCAGAATTGCTCGAAACGTATTCTCGGACCAAAATCTTAAACTGGTGGAAGCCTTGGAAGAATTAGGAACGCGAGCTCGTCCAATTCATGGTGGTGTATTTATAGCCGATTATTTGGATAAAGAGAAATACGGCTATGTTGGAACAATCACTGATGTCAGAAAGAATGCCGTCGAGGCTAGCATTAAAATGGGCGCATTACCTATATTGACTTGCTTGGCCGAGACGCCTTCTGGTCAATTGCTGAACGTTAATGCTGACACTGCTGCTAGCGAGTTGGCCAAAGCCCTCAAACCCCTCAAGACTATATATCTCAATGAGGAAGGACAATTAACCAATAGCGAAACTAAAAGAAAAATTGACATGATTAACTTGGATGAAGTGAGTATACTTGTGTGTTACAGCCCAACCTTTAGGAGAGCCATAATAATCTTATCAATTAAATTTTAGGAATATGATTGGTATATGGCACAACCATGGGTCAAGTTTGGCACCCACTTGAAGATCAAAGAATCCAAAGAACTTCTCGATCAACTTCCGGAAACATCATCAGTCGCTATCACATCTGCCAACCAGCTCCAAAAGGAGCTTTTTACGGATAGCGGTGCGGGAACATTGATACGTCGAGGATATCGTTTGTTCAAATATGATTCACTCGACAACGTAAACTCTGAAAATCTGCAGAGTCTGCTGGAAAAGGACCCTCAAACAGTTTCTGGGTACGTTACTGCTTATCTTAGTACGCTATCTCAAAGACCATTTAAAATTTATTGTGATGAGCCGTACGATGTTGCGGCCATTGTCACATACGACAAGAGTGCTGGCATTCCATTCCTCGAAAAGTTTAGCGTAACAGAAAAGGGAAGTTTGAATGATGTAACGGATAAAGTATGGGAGTCTATCAAGAAGGATAACTCGCAATTATTTTGGGTAGTAAACGGAGAGGAAAAAGACAAAGCATGGCATTTTGATAAATCTCAGGGTAGTTACACCAAGGGTTCGCAAACGCTCTTCTGGTACGGAGTTGAAGATATTGACAAAATGGTTTCAATAATCAATCAGTTCACCGCCTCTCAAGCTACTCCGGAAGCAACTCCGCTTTCTAAAGCTGGGACAAGAGCTTATTCAACTAGTGCCTATCAAAGTCGCGATGCGTTTTCTGCTTACAACATTCTTCGCCGTCAATATAGTACTACCGCCTCACCCGCAAAAGTTGCACTCATCGGTGCTCGTGGATATACAGGACAGAATTTTATTACTCTCGTCAATAATCACCCTCATCTTTCGCTATCTCATGTGTCATCGCGAGAACTAGAGGGCAAAAAGTTGGAAGGATACACAAAGAGTGAGATTATATATAGTAATTTAAACGCTGAACAGATAAAAGAAATGCAGAAGAATGGAGAAGTCGATTGTTGGGTTATGGCCTTGCCTAATGGTATATGTGCCCCGTTTGTTCAAGCCGTTGATGACGCTAAAGCCGGCAAGAGTCTTATTGTCGACCTTAGCGCTGATTATAGATTCACGAACGAGTGGACATACGGTTTACCTGGTACGTACTATAGACCTCCGAATAACACGACACGAATTTGCAAGCGTGAAATGATTCTTTATTTTACTTATATACTCTCTAATGTTCTTAGAGCTCGGCAACCGTGAAGCATTGCGTACTGCAACACGTATATCGAACCCAGGCTGTTATGCGACAGGCTCTCAACTTGCTATTGCTCCCCTAGTCCCATATGTTTCATCGCCGCCAACAGTCTTTGGCGTATCTGGTTACTCGGGAGCAGGCACGAAACCGTCGCCAAAGAATGACGTAAATTATCTCAAAGACAATCTTATTCCCTACAGTCTTACAAACCACATTCATGAACGTGAGATCAGTCACCATCTTGGCACAACTGTCAATTTCACTCCTCATGTCGCATCATTTTTCCAAGGAATTGCGTTGACGATCAACATTCCCCTCAACAAGACTTTCAAGTCGTCTGAAATTAAAGAATTATACGAACAGCAGTATAAAGGGGAGAAGTTGATTAAGGTTGTTGGAGATGTACCCGTTGTAAAGGATAATGCCCAAAAACATTTTGTCAAGATTGGAGGATTTGGTGTAGACGCTACTGGAAAGAGAGTAGTCATGATTGCGACGATAGACAATTTGTTGAAGGGCGCTGCTACTCAGGCATTACAGGTATGTATCGTTGTTGTTGTTAATGATATCTTATCCACATGATTCGTGTATCATATTCATATGTATATATTTTCACTAGAACATCAACCTTGCTCTTGGATATGACGAAACCGCTGGAATTCCTCTCGAATGAGATATTAGTAATGCCCATGCTGATTTATATTTCCTGTAATTCAAAATAATATCCGATCCGATAATAGTTATTAAGCGTGTGACAAAAATGAATTTCCCCTAAAAAAATCTAATATGTAACTAAAAATTACAAATACAAAATTAAAATTAAAATTAAATTATAGATAGTCATTCAGCCGTGCCAAATGTAGGAATACGCGGTTAATCCTTCAGATCGCAATTATTTTAATACAACATTGCCATATTAATATCACCCAGCAATTTATGTCCGAGTCAATCTTGTAATCTTAGCCATTCAGTTACAAACAACTTATTGAAAACCCATTACTGCAACATCACACTTCTGCTAGCAAAGGTACCGCTGTCACATCTGTTTGTTGAACTATTTTTTAACAAGTCGTTTCGCTGTAAATTATCCAAAAAATCTATTTATTATTAGAATGTTATGCAACCAGTTATGGTTTTCGGGAAACTCTATTTACAAAGGGAACTGATATGCCTGCTTGTATATAATATTGCGAGCAAATTTATATGGCCCCGTCAATCACTTTCGGAACAACAATAATTATTATTAATATTAAATTAAACCTTGTAGAAATGTGTTTAGGAAAAATTTGACAATAAAGCGGTTTTGGCTTTTTACGAGATCTGCATCGGAAAAAGAAAGCATAACCAGACTTGATTAAGCTCGCTAAACTGTATGAAATTAAAGAAAATACAGTGTATACCATTCTTAAACAACAATCATATTGGCACTCCAGATGACGTTTCATGTTCTTTGTTATAAGAAAATCTCTCAACATGAAGAACCCTTGTACCAAGATTATTTCGGTCTAGCCCGACACTGTTTGCGATGGGTCATGAAAATTAATATAGGTACATGAAAATTATATTCTTTTTCCTATAATATCGGGTTTTACTGTTCTCAAACAATAGCAAACCTTCCATATACAGATTATCTCCGACTGTCAAAACATCAAGTGTAGCTGGTAGAAGTAGGAGCAACACTTTTGAGAAACGAGTGACAAATATGTCTCTATAAAAGGCCAAGGTTTCTGATGCTGATAAAATTCCTAACGGACACTTTAACAGCCATTTGTATAAGACCCTACTATGGACCGAAATTTCGTTTTTCTATTTATGCTCTTGACTATGCTTTATGCTATCAATATTAATGCCCTTCCACATCGGCGTGACGATCCATTTGTATTTCCAAATGATGATTTTGTTTCGTGTTCCGGTCGCATTCCCCGAGAACTCAATGTGTCCTTTACACCTGATCCTTTAGTTTCGGGTGCTGTTGCTACGTTTGAAGTTGCTGGACGACTACTTATTGATGCCCCAAGAAAATTTTCTCTTCATATTTTCATAAATCAAGATACCGGCGACCTTCATGACGAGAGCGACGTAGAACCGGCAAAGCTACTCCTCGCTGGAGATCCATTTAATTTCTTTGAAAATATTACGATGCCAACTTTATCTGAACATTTCCAGATTGTGGTTTCGTTAGATTCTCTCGACACGGAGTTAGCCTGTGCAAACAGGACCATATAACTAGTACAGTAAGTATAAACATTCGAGGATAACTATAAAAAAGGGGTTGATTACAAACGTAATTGCGAGGAAGGGCTAAAACTCAGATACTCAATATTTGTTCAGCCTTAATAGGATTTTATACTGTATTTACTACCGAATAAACGACGGCGGCTATGAACAATTTTGGGAGGGTAGAAAATTAGAAATCGCTACATAGAATACAGTCATCAGTCACCACGTTGGGGCGGGTCATTCAGGGTGGTGACTATAAATTTTGACTATTATGATGGCTATAAACTTCATAGTCGCAATGTAAATACATAAAACTGGCAAGTGATTATATCTTGTCGCAGAAAATATTAAGAACGAAAAGCAACTGCAAGAAAAACATACTATTCAAGCAACTTTTTATCATTCCTTTATGAACCAATGTTACAATAATGTAAGTACTCAAAAATTTTCTGTACGAGTAGAAAAATAGCTTTTTGTTTCATTAATAGTACCTTGGGGCTCTGAACTGAGATGGCGAACTGAGGTACAACAATAAATACAATAATGCTTCCAAGAATAGTGCAACGACAGTAAATATTCCTATTTTGTCAATTTGTGGCATTAAAATTTGCTGCAAGTGTCGCCTATTAATAGTTAAATCTCGGTTTACCGTTAGTGACTTTTATAACACTAGGCTGTTACACTCACGATTTCACTATGTCGATGAGCAACACTACTATAATTGTCCTCTTGTCAATCACGTTTATAACAATAATATTAATAATGCGCATCGATATAAACAATTAATTATCGTATCTGCCACGGGCGCGAGCGATATAGGGGTTAGCGGTTTCACTCTATACCGATAATTTGCCAGAAAATGAAATGTATTTCAGAATATAAGAACTACTCGTTTGTTAGAAACGTTTACAATAAAGGAATCGAAAGTAATTGGAACACTATGAACATGCACACCAAATCTAGCGGAAATTACGCCGCTTTCATATCTTTCGAAAGGACTAACTAATCTAATTTTAGTAACGCTTATCGTTATTAATATTAATATTCTATTTTCAGTATATGCTATTGTTCTGCTGCTATTGCTTCCCGCGTTGCTGTTTCCGTATCACTATGCTACTCATGTTACTATTGCAGTAATATCGGCAAGCTCCGCAGTCAAGCAAACCCCATGATCGACATTAATTTTAGATTAATTAGTTCTTCATATTCATGTCTTTTATACGATTATTTAATTATTTTTAGATTCGTTACCGTTTTTAAGTGACCCTTATACCATCGTCGAAGAACTCATGTTGTCAAATTAATGTTGTTTGAAATATTAATGTTGTTATAATAATATTGTCTATTCCACGGAATAATAATCAAATAAACGATTCCCATTGAAATCGAAAAATCGAAAATTTACTTTCAAATGTTAATTATTTGACCGGACACATTAATAAACGGCTCTACCAAGCCTTATAAGATTGTCCGTTGATCAACTACTCCTGATCGGAGGAACAAAAGCTCATAATTAATTTTTGAAATGAGTTAGTTTTATTAGAGACAAGTGGTGAATGCCCGACTAGTCGAAACACCAAATAGAAGCTAGCCCTGTTTAATTTTTAAGTAGATTTTCCCCTTCGATTCTGCGATAGAATTATTATTCTAGTCGTAGGTACCCTTACTGGAGTACAAGTGACTGAAGCTCGTATAGGGAGTTAGAAAGCGCGCATATTAATTAGGTCACTTGTAGGTTTAGTATTCAGTCTTAATTGAACAACTACCGTAGTAAGCGAACTAAATCTGGTAACATCCCCCGGTCGGAAGAACACCCCTACGCGAAAGATTATCGCTCTCCCAAACCCCAGACCATCCGACCGTAACACAATGTTAGGAAAGACCCAGTAACTATGTTAATAACAATCCATAATATTGATGAATAATAGACTATGACACGTGAGCGTAGTTCTAATGCAAATACTGCTTGTCGGGTCTTTAAAAATCTTTCCAGGAAAACATTAGAGACTCCCAAAATTATTGATGACTATAATCATTATATGGGTGGTGTGGACATTGCAGACCAACTGAGAGGGTATTATAATTACCAGTTAGTCCGCAGAACATGTTTCCCTTGATACTACACTTGTTAATTGCTTTAAACTTTATTATAATGTCACTGACCAGAAAATTACAAGCGGGATCTAGTAAACAGCACTGTGGCAGATGTGGGTAAAAGAATCACTAGATCAGACTTGTCTAATACTAAAGACACATATTTCACTCTTTCTAAAAGTTTTCAAGATACTGTATCTATATTACTGAGACATATAGTTTGCCTGCAATATGTTTAGTTCCTGGGAGGACATTTTGTGGCGTAGAGAGAAACAAGGAAATCATGTGTGTATTGTTAGATATCTATCTAAGCAAGGTATGATCATAAAAATCCACCTCAAACTCAACTTTGGTGTATTAAACCCAATTGTTTTCAAGATTGCCATACTAAAACATAATAAAATTAATTTAGTTTATCCAATTACAATTGTTGATTTAGATAAATGAAAAAATTTTTATTACAGGAACACATACAGACGATTACGTTCTTTGTTTTTATTGTATAAGATAAACTATGTGCTGTCGAATATTATCATGTTATTACCAACAATTAATACAAGTGCCGTACAGTTTGGGCTACAAATGCTGTTCGCTCGTTTACAGTTACATCTTCTGGTAGAACAATTTGCTCTACAATTACAGCTATCAGTATGAGCACTTTCATTACGACACTGTCAAGTTGGCCAAAAACGGAGTCATGAATCGTTGATTTACAACCGACTGTTTTGTTGAACACAATTACGATTAATCTTACGATTGGTGATTTATGATTGAATATTTGTCAAATTTATAAACTTGGTTTCACATGTTGACCTAAGGAAGAATCGATTTGCAGATGAACGTCGGTATATTATTTACTAAATTGGAAGTTTCTTACAATGTTAGGATAAATTCAATGATAATAATTATGGATTAGTCGGATCGTACAATTTCTTCAACTCAGATAACGCACGCGGATCTTTACAAATTTGTTGGTTGACATAGATCTGTTTAGCCAGTATAACGTATACGAGAGTTTCTGAAACAATTGACTTAGAATGTATCTAACTAAGCAATGTGGCAAGAGTAAGACACATGTCTGTCGAAGTAGAGAAGCGGTACTTTTTGATAATATAAATCCGCAAGCGGAGAAGGCTTATCAGTATGAAGCAAGTTACTTATTTGGTCTTACTTTCCCCCTTTTCAGAAAAATGTATTCTTTATTTCACCTCTTCTTTACTTAAGCAGACATACTAAAACTGGCGTTAGCGTGTATATCTAGTTGAGAAATAAGTCTTTCACTATTGAAAAATAAAGATTGTATAATAAAAATAATAATAATTATTTTTTTGCAATTGTCCCATTTTAATTTTAGCGTGCTGGAAAAAATGCTTGTCTTTAACTCACAGCGCGCTATAATCTTTGCTTTGATAGATTCGTAATCAGTATGTCAACAATTTTTATTGGGATTATTGCATAGTATTGATTAATACAAAATAAAAAAATTTTTTGGTTAATGTCTTGATCACATGTACGTTATCCTTCTAGATGCATCCATTTGCTGTAGTTTTGAATTACGCATCTAGAGGTAAAACTTTTATTATAATGAGAGCGGCACAGTGACATATTAATAAAAAGGAGGAGAAGCTGTGGAGACGTACCCGTTTGTAAAAGATAATGCCCAAAATCATTTTGTCAAGATTGGAGGATTTGGTGTAGACAATTTGTTGAAGGACGCTGCTACTCAGGCATTACAGGTATGTATCGCTACTTCATTTGTTTGTGATTTCTTATACACATAATTTGTGCACCATATTTATATTTAATAGAACACCAATCTTGCTCTTGAATCTTACGAAACCGCTGGAATCCCTCTCGAATAAGATATGAAAATTAATGTCATAATATTCGATAACAGTTATTAAGCACTGAAACTAAGTTACAAATAAAAATTATAGATAGTCTTTCAGTCTGCCAAATGTAGGAATACGCGGTTAATCCTTCAGATTGCAATTATTTTAATACAATATTGCCATATCACTCGGCAATTTATGTCCGAGTCAATTTTGTAAATTTAGTTACAAAAAATTTATTGAAAACCAATTACTACAACGCCACACTTCTGCTAGCAGAGGTACACATTAATTCCTTCTGTGAAACCTACAAACCAACCAGACTAGTGAAAATATCGAATCCATCGCCATTTATTTTCCTGGTAACACTAGTTCAATTGAAAATCCCCTTCTTTTCCATTTAGTTGTTCTATGGGAGACGGTTTCTCACATCTGTTCGTTGAAGTATTTTTTATAAATGTTAGACAAGTCGTTTCGCTGTAAAAAATCTGTTTATTATTAGTAAGCTATTATAACATTGTTTTCAGAAACTTGATAACGTCAAAATAATATTGCGAGTAAATTTATATGACTCAATCATCACTTTCGGAATAGCAACAATTATAAATTAAATCTCGTTTTTGCGTCGTAGAAATACGTTAGGAAAAAATTTGACAATAAAGCGGTTTTGGCTTTTTTACTGGCTTCAACAAAGATCTGCATCGGAAAAGGAAAGTTTAACCTAGTACTAGCTTGATTATATAAGCTTGTGCTAAACTGTAGAAAATTAAATCTATGCCGTTCTTAAATTTTCAATAATCATATTGGCACTCCAGATGACGTTTCATATTCTTTGCCATAAGAAAATCTCCCGACATAAAAAACCCTTATACTAAGATTATTTCGGTCTAGACCATCTTGACTGTACAACACATGAAAATTAATATAATTTGAGAGATCGGATTTACTATACTAATATATATCAAGCCTTTCCATATACAGATTATCGCCCGTTTTGGTAAAACGACTGTTAAAGCATAAAGTATAGCTAGGTAGTAGTAACGCTTTTGGGAAACGAGTGACAAATATGCCTATAAAAAGCCAAGGTTTCTGATGCTGATAAATAACATTCATCCTTAACGACACTTCTAACAGCCATTTGTATAAGACACTACTATGGACCGAAATTTCATTTTTCTATTTATGCTCCTGACTACGCTTTATGCTATCAATATTAATGCCTTTCCACATCGGCGTGACGACGATCCATTTGTATTTGAAAATGACGGTTTTGTTTCGTGTTCCAATCGCATTTCCCGAGAACTCAATGTATCTTATACACCTAAGCCTTTAGTTTCGGGTGCTGTTGCTACGTTTGAAGTTGCTGGAAGACTACTTATTGATGCTCCAAGAAAATTTAGTCTTCATATTTTCATAAACCAAGATACTGGCATCCTTCATGACTCGAGTGACGTAGTACCGGCAAGGCGACTCCTTGCTGGAGATCCATTTAATTTCTATGAAAATTTTACGATGCCAACTTTATCTGAACATTTCCAGATTGTGGTTTCGTTAGATACTCTCGACACAGAGTTGGCCTGTGCAAACAAGACCATATAACTAGTACAGTAAGTATAAACAATTCGAGAATAATTATAAAAAAGAGGTTGTATGTGAGGAAGGGCTAAAACTCAGATACTCAATATTTGTTCAGCCTTAATAGGATTTTATGCTACCGAACAAACGACGACGGCTATGAACAGTTTTGGGAGTGTGCACTTATAGAACAACGAATAGAAAACTAGAATTATTCATACAGGGATTTACAAACCCCTCCTTTCATTTGTATGAGTTGTAAGTTTCCCCATTTATATTATATAGAATACAATTAATTGTGTGTTGAAACTGTTATCTTTCGTTTTGTTTACATTTTTGTGTTGCTTGTTAACCTTTTCATAATGACTTCAAGCATACTAATCAGGTTGCCAAGCATTTCTTGAAAATATGCTCCAGAAATTATAGACTAATTTGCTAATAGTTCGGACTTTAAATCTTATTAAATTTTTGGGCCATTGTTTAAAGAAATGTATACCCAAAACTCTAGATTAATTAGAACATTTTATGACGGGAAATTTCAGAACTCTCTCTAATAGTTTGGTAAAATTAATAAAGAGACCGTGTAAGCTAGTGCTAGGAAATAATGGCGATCGAATTCTCCGATAATAATGCGTAAATAAAACTGCTTGTTTTAAGCTTTCAAATGATATATATTAATATCATGCGATATTTGAAATGTTGGCTGTGCAGAAATGAGCAAGTTAATTTGTCCAAATTTTTTTGCAAACCCCTGTAGAATAATTAGTTATTTTTTACTTCAATAACCGGTTCGTAAATAATATCTTGCGACCAATCCGATGATCAAAATTAAAGTATTCTTTTCGGTTTTATCAAAGTCAAACTACGCGTTAAGAAAAATGTGTGTCAATTTTAGTTTGATGCGTTGAGCTTATTTAATGTTTTGTAACAAGGGTGTATATTTCTCTGCATCATCCTGTCGGAGAAGAAATGCACGTACAGTTTCCAAGCTAGAATTGCCGTGCTAGCACTAATAACGATTCTCCTCGCTATCATCTACACAGGTAGAAATAAACAAATTCGGACTCAATTAAGCTGCTGATTTGTTTATGGGTTTTGTCTGGAACGTGTCTTACAAATATTCCGGCCATGAGTTATAGGCCATTTTAGTTTATTTCTAAAAATAAAACATCTCCGGACGGACACATTTGAAAATTATACGAAAAAGTGTCATTTCTAATTAAATAAGTATTTATATCATCTGTACGTTTGTAACATTCCGGATAGTTACACGTGTCATTTCTAATTAATATTAATATTAAACAAGCACTCATCCTAGCCATTTATGTACCACATCTCAAAAACGTGTCGTTTTATCCTAGCTATTTATATACCGCTTATCATTCTTTGTCAAACACATATCCATATTGTTCGCGTATTCAGACGTACGGAAACCGTGTTATCTTATATTTAATAAGAATTCATGCCATCCATTTTCATACGGAATATTTAAGGAAAAGCGTTGTAGTCATATCATCTGCGCACATGTAACATCTTAGGCTAACATATTAAGCGTATCTTTCTAAGCAGACGAGTGCTAAGATTATTTATAAATTTGTAACATCTCATGCGGATACATCCGAAAGTTATTGATAGAAGTGTCATTTATACAGTATGGTAAGTATGTTAGTTTTTTGGTAACACAAAGGTTAATTATAGATGCGGTATTAATTTCATAGTAATTGCATTGCTCGTCATGTCAATATTTAGGGTGGTTGGTGACTACCGAATAGTATCCTAGATTCAAAATTCGATTTCTCAACGAAGAAGCAAGATACGATAGCAGCTTTAAATAAAATTTGTGAGTTATATGTGTATTAATTTTTAACTTTGGGGGGGGGTGTTTAAATATGCAAGTTGCATAACTTAATTTTAGCGTTTTTCGTAGGATAAAAGTCGGCTCTAGGTAAATTCATGATTTTACTATCTAACATGTTACAACTTTTGTGTATATATTACCTATAAGATTTGGCATCAATTTTACGGTGATTGCATTGCTCGTTATGTCAATACCACATTTAATTGCATATTGCACGCCTTTGTTAGCACTCGCAACTTTGTAATCACAACCACAGCAGAACCATTTACATATATAACAGAAATATATAAATGCACAAATCAGTCTGTGACAAGAAACTATATCTAGTCGCAACAGACTGACAATGTCCCGCTTACACAACAGCACCTCAATAACATCGACCAAATAGGTCATCGCTAATCATATATCTATAATAATACGTTAACATATCATATGTTACAATTTCACGAACAGATAACCGATGTGAACATTGTACCAACGACTAAATTCTATTCAACAACTTTCCTCATTCAACAAATTCGCCCATATGCAGCACAACCGCAACTACATATGTACAAAGCTATATTGAACGTAACAACTGCATATTATGATATTACCGAATGATCCATTGTAAAAAATAAAGATTGATATCAATCAATGATGTTAACAAACAACAGTCCGTTACCATCCCCTAATACTAACTACTTATACTGTTGACTGTACTCAATCAAACGAGAGTGCCACCCATAATAAACAAACTATCGATAATAGATAAATAAAATCCAACCGTTAACTAAACATGAAATCGATGTGACGAATGCATAACGGAACCTTGTTAGACTTATGTCATAAAATTATTGCAAGCGATTCAATACCGATCAAGTTCGAATAGAAGGATAATACAGTAAATGCAAATTGCTCTTAAGTCTCTTCACCTACTTGCTGAAGAATCAGATTGTCAGAAGACTCCAATGACAAAAGATATGTCCTGTACAAGTTGTCTGGAATCTCTTTGGCAAATTAAAATGCACTTTTTATTTTGGGAGTCATGTCCATAACACGTATAATCTTGAATCTTGTTACTTTTGTAATTTCTAAAAAAATTTATCATTTCTGTGGTCTTCTCATCAACATTTCCTTATTTAGCATACTCTGGATCTGAGTCTAATGAAAGAATTGCAGCTTTTTTTTCTAATAAAAAGTTTATTATAGTATACACTTACTGCATCATTCAAGCTGTCGTCTTCTTATATAGTAATAGAATGTACTTAGTAATAAGATACATTACTTGTATAGATCAAGAAAAATTCTAACTAAAGAACTAATTATAAGTCTCTTGTACTGTCCATCTTCATCATCTACGTCTTCTGGACATAACTGTCTTTTGTATTGTTGTACTGAATTTGCTACTTTTCATAAACAAGGCCTTTTTCCAGATCTAAACAACACTACAAATACATTGTAATTTTGCAACCAAGTGGGTAGTGTTTGCTCCAACTAGTCATCATCTTCAAACTCATCACTATTGTCATCCAAAACTATATCATTATCCTTCTCAAGGACTTGCAGATTGAGTTCTTCAGGAACTGTTGGGTGATTATTTGACTCAATTACAGGCTCTGATTTGCCCTTCAAAGATTGCAAACATATTGCATTAGTAACTATTGATAAGATCAGATATAATAATAATGCTTACAAAAAACCTTGTGCTCTCTGCTTTTACAACAAATATTTTGTCCTTGATTACACTCTTTTCAACATTGATCTTGTAAAGTTTCTGTGATAAAGCATGCAAGTAAGCATTTTGATTTCAGAGCACATTTGTAGATTCACATGACTAACCTTGTAGAACCTAACATCTTGCTCATCAAAGAATTGTATTATCTCTGCACGAGATAATGTTGTATCCAATGCTGCATAAAGCTTCTTAGCCTTATTCTTTGCAGATTTCTTGAAATTAATGCCAACAGATATATGAAGCAGATGTTTTGCGAGAACTTTGCTGATTTCTTCTTTGCTATTGCTTGTGTAATCCATATACTCGGCCAAATACTGCAAAATTCCCATTACGCTCCATTGAGGATATTGCGTTGACCCGAAATATGTTGCAATGTTCTCTTCAAAGTTCATCACTACAGTTAATATACAAAATACGTTATATATCCATATAGCAGGTTGACAAGTTGTTGCTGGCTTGACGGTAGTACTTTCTGGTAAAGAGAGCAAGGCTTGAACTACAACGAGGTGATTTAATCAATAGCTTAAATCACGTCAAAGAGGGTATCCTATGCATTTCTCCACCAAGCATCAGCTGCAGGAGTCGCTAACAAGTAGCTAAGCGCGTACAGGTGTAGGAAGTACTACGTCCAGTGTACTAGAGATAAGACCAAGGCTTGAACTACTAAGAGGTGATCCGTCCAAAAAGACAAACCACGTCAAAGAGGGTATCCTACGGGCCTCATTCCTAAACCGCGGCCGCAGGAGTCGCTTTGCTAAGCCATACGGACGCCGGACACTGGCCTTTAATAAATGTTCAACTTGCCTGTAGAAATAAACGAGGTAGGCCTATTGTTTGGTTCAAAGTCTTTGGTTGACAGATTTCAACGATGAGACTCTCTCAGTTCTTGTTGGCAAACAGCACAACACGTCAAATTTTTAACGCGTATCGTTAGATGCGCGTAATTTATGTCTGTGGCTGAGACATGACGTATTGTGGCGATTTGTAATGGCTCATATGCACTGTATTGTGAACTCTTATTTAATTATATTCGAACTGGTACTGAACCAATTATTTTGAATTCTTTCAGGTTTAACTGGTAAACTTCTTCGGTTAGCCATATATTTTTAAAGTATTACCTGGCTCTGTGAATAAAGCAAAGCATTATCAGCCACACTAACTGTTCTTTGCGTCTGCCTGTACTCGCTCCTCAGACAGAAGATTTTATGAATCAGATTTGTTGGAGACGATAGATATTGACCCTCATTGTTATATATTTTATTCTAACAATGTTTCGCCTCCACCATTCACAGGCTGAAATATGCGTGCGGAACTGTTCCACAATACAAAGGGTAAGACATACACAAGAATATACAGATAGCATGATTACCTTTCTTTAAACGTAAGCTTCATCTATTGGCATGGTACAAGAAATATAATTTCATTGATCCCAGCGATGTAGCAACGGTATTAACATTTCCGGATTTGAAGGATAATATTTCGATATACTAATATCGAGATAACAAAAACATAATCATGCAAAAGTGTCTAATTTTATGTTTGCAGGAGGCCTGCATTGAATTAGGGTCACTAAAGCTACAACACATAGCCGATGAAATTTACAATTCGTGTTATTCTTTCGTGGCATTGCAATTTTCGTAGAGGTAAGTTGATGGTGATGAAGGGTTGATTGGCGAGCGGAACAATAAAAGGTGGCAACGTATGTATAGTATCCAGTATTCACTTTAATTTTGCCTAAAATTGCGAACTTTTAGTGATATACTGTACAAGCGCTTCAATCCAGACGATAGGTTTGTGTGCTGGTAAACGATAGAATTTTTAGCATGACTATTACACTTCCTACGAGCGGATCATAACTAAAGCTCTTGTGTTTTCTTTTTGAAGAGCCGACATATGTGCTTGTTTAAACTTTACAGACGAACGAGGAATAGTTGGCGTCTTAACCTGGGGAAAGATAAAGCATTTCGTCAAGTATTCTTTGTCTGCCATTATTACACGTATTTCTGACAAGGTTTAATCCACCAATATTATGTGTTGCACAATATTATTTTTTTAATTGGTCAATCTCACAATTTATTAGAACTTCTCGTCATAATTGAAGCCCTTCGGCTCTTCTATAGTATTATCCAAGTCCACTCATACGTTATCCGCATGGCAAACATTTTCAGCAATATGATGACCAAGTCTTGAACAATTGCTTTAACAATTTCACATTTGATGCAAAGTCTAATTTTTTGATTATGTAACACGTAACCATCTAACTTTTCGTGTGATCATGTCAGACGTAATGCGTACGTAGTTTTTGAGGCAATGCTATTTCGGCTTCTTTTGACCGCGTTTTTCCTATATCAATGTTAATTACCGTTATTATTCAACAGAACGGGAATGTAAATACCATTAAACCTTAAACAAAATTAATTGTTTCAACTTTAAAAGAATAAGCATGCAAAGAAACAAAGCCTATACAAACGATATTGCAATTGATTAGAATGGATCACGTATCGTGCGGACTATGCTTTATTAGTTTGTTGTGAAAAATCTGCTAAATAGAAACTTGTACCGTAGCAGTTTTGGCTAGTGATAAAAAAGTGACATCATATCAGCATGCATAAATCTGCGAGACACACTATGACATCATCTGCCGATTTGAAACAATTTGGCAAGGTGAGCTTAGAAATATTAGCGTTAATATGGTGAAGTAAACATGTGATGTTGCTTTACTTGACAATTAATGATAATATTTACTTTGTGATTAATTTTGTATTTGATCGTTCATGATTTCCCAAATTAATTTTCACAATATTATTCCATGTTTATTATAAAAAGTTTCAAAGGTGATATTTTATTGCAAGTGACCTTCATTCGGGATGGCTACTCTAGTGAAACGGCAACTTTACCTGTAATTTGCACATGAAGATCATCGCATAAGTGTTTCAGTGCTTGTAATGTATGAAATTTAGTATTAGCAAGTAATATGTCGCTATAATTAATGCAATAAAGAGAATGTAGAATTGCAGATCTCAGGGAGGGTGTTAAAACTGTTGAATGCTAGAATAGTGTTTTGTATTATTATTATGTTCTTGTTTTATTTTGTTCACCAGCGTAAGTTTTTAATAGCTCGCCTAGCTTGCTTCTGCTTTTCATAAAATCTTCCTCCTTAAATCATGTATATCAATGCACTGGCCTTTGAGTTCTGCTTAGAAAGTGTTAATTCTACCTACTAGAATGCTTGTTTAGATATGATCTTTGACTTAAAGATTTTCAACCGAGAAAAATATTCATGAAGACGATTAAATAATAAATTAAGAAAATGAAAAACGACAAGCATAACCGAGCCCTACAATTTTTTGTCGCAGCAACCCCACGTTTAGTAATCAACATTGAAATCAAACAGAATACTTTTCTCCCGGCTGCCTGGCGTTTGAAAAAATATGGACTAGTTTAGACATTGTCGATATTATCTAAATTTAGCTGTACGTTATCAGAAGATTGTCAATTATAGTAGCGGTTGCCTTATCAGCTATAAAAATAGTAAAAGATGTAAAGTGAAAATGCCTAAAATGACAAGAATGATGTCAGTAAGGCAAACAGATGCCAGCTTGACTCATCGCGAAAATTTTCGTAATTTTTCGAAATGTCATTAGAAATACATTTTTGACCACATCGCGAAGATCCATTTTACCTATTATATCTAAAACCCCTATTCTTTTCAACAATAGCGAAAGAATAACGACAAGTTCTAGCACGCAGCAATCAGTTGACCCTTAAAGTCGAGTTGGCGCTGTGTACGCAACACCAACTGACGTTGTACAAACGCCTTAAGCTTTACAGATTCACTTGATAATATATTACGGCAACAAGACTGATATCGAGGTTTTTATGTACTTTGACAAGGAATACTTTTTCTTCGAGCACAATTCACCAGGACATTTTTTAGCTAACAGGTTGGAGCTGGTTACATAAGTCTTAGCCTCAGTTTACGGCGTCGCATCTATCGACAAGGTTTGGTTCAGGAATTAAATTCCATTTTTCTTAATCACATGTGAGTGGTTCTCAATAGGATTTAAGTTAGGAGGCTATGCAAGTGTTTTATTCACTCACAGCCATTGACACTTTTAATTGTGTCTGGACACTTTTTCACAGTTTTTGAGGGGGTGCAGCGCCAATGTTTCAGTGATTGTTTAATCAAAGTTACAGTTATTTACAAATAATACTTTCACATCGTTTAACCGATATTTGATGTACCATTTTTAAAACTATAATTTGGTATACCTTCAACGTTTACGAACGAACCTTTTTGTCAATCGCCCCTCTGTAACCAGTTCAAATAAATCTTAATTTGTTTGATGGGAAATGGGAAAAACGTCTCGCCAATAATGTTGTAGAGCTAGTCTGAGACATTTTAGGGTTATAGATGATAATGATAATGATAATGATAATAATAATGATAAATCAGCAGCTTGTCAATAAATATCTCTCATTTTAGTGCCAGAAAAGATATAGTAATACAGGTATGATATTCGGCCATCGACGTCACTCAGACTGTTGGGGGGATTCCTTTTAAAGTTTGTAAACGCGACGGGGGCGTGGACGTAAACAAGATTACAAATTAAAAATAACCACCGGGCAAAAAAGTTAAACGTATAATAACAAAATGCACATCTCTGATCGAACAGGGGGAATTTCCCGAAATATAAAAGGCGTGTGGTTTCGGCAATGTCATGTGGTTTATTTGTTGCAATATGGTCTCTATAAGGATACATCGAGCAAATAGGGTTAACTTAATACGGTAATGATCTTTTGATTCTTCAAACAAGGGACGAGCAAAAAAAAAGAGGAAAAAAAAAAAAAAGGATTGTCGTCCAACGATATATCGATATACAGTTACAAATTAATATTAAAACTGATGTACTACACAATAGCAATAAAATAACATGACAACATTCGGAAAATAATAGACTTTATGACGAATATTACAATATTTACTTATCTTATGATTAGATCAACCCCCATATACGACTGCGGGGGGCTCTTCCCGAAAAGAACCAACTGATAAGCAGATACAAATAAAACTCGAATAGATAAGAGTTGCGTGCTCAATGTGTTTTGTGATAGTCTTTGTTCTTTATGCTTATCTTTATGTTTCGAAACGTGAAACAAGTGGCTGTCATCATTTTATGGTTGTACTCTCTCCTTTCTTTGTCTTTATCTTTCGCAAGTCATATGATACATGTGTATATTTTATATTCGATAAGAGAGGTTTGGTTATTTATCCCATTGACTCCTCAAATCTATTCAACTCTGTCCCAAATATGGCAAACACTTTACATTAATATATCCTTGTGCAATCAACAAAGACTCGCACTTGGGACGTATTAGTATCGCTACCCTT